AAGATTTTATTGTATACAAAAAAAAAAAAAAAGATTTTATTGGATACAGATGCAGTGAAACGCCGGGACACCTGCACCCCGATGTTTCTAGCAGCAATGTCCACAATAGCCAAACTGTGGAAGGAGCCTCGGTGTCCATCGAAAGATGAATGGATAGGGCAGCCCAGGTGGCTTAGCGGTTTAGCGCCGCCTTCAGTCCAGGGCCCGATCATGGAGTCCTGGGATCGAGTCCCACATCAGGCTCCCTGCGTGGAGCCTGCTTCTCCGCCTCTGTGTGTGTGTGTCTCATGAATAAATAAATAAAAACATTAAAAAAAAGAAAGATGAATGGATAAAGAAGATGTGGTCTATGTTTACAATGGAATATTCCTCAGCCATTAGAAAGGATGAATACCCACCATTTGCTTCAACGTGGATGGAACTGGAGGGTATTATGCTGAGTGAAGTAAGTGAATCGGAGAAGGACAATCATTATATGGTCTCACTCATATGGGGAATATAAGAAATAGTGAAAGGGATTGTAGGGGAAAGGAGAGAAAATGAGTGGGAAAAATTAGAGAGGGTGACAAGGCATGAGAGACTCCTAACTCTGGGAAACGAACAAGGGGTGGTAGAAAGGGAGGTGGGCGGAGGGTGGGGGTGACTGGGTGACGGGCACTGAGGGGGGCACTTGACGGGTTGAGCAGTGTGTGTTATGCTATATGTTGGCAAATTGAACTCCAATACAAAAAATTTAAAAAAAAGATTTTATTCATTTATGCATGAGAGGCACAGAGAGAGAGGCAGAGACACAGGCAGAGGGAGAAGCAGGTTCCATGCAGGAAGCCCGACATGGGACTCGATCCAGGGTCCCCAGGATCACACCCTGGGCCGAAGGTGGCGCTAAACTGCTGAGCCACCCAGGCTGCCCCCGATTTTTTTTTTTTAATATACTTAGGTATATCCAGCGTATATAGTATATAGTAAATATTTAATATATATTTTTAGTAGATCCAAGATATTATCCCTTCAACGTGTAATTAATACAAAATTATAAAAAAGATACTGCAGTCTTTGTCTTCACACTGAATCTCTGAAATTCGGCATGCATCTTACACACTAGCATATCTCAGTTTGGGCTAGTAGTTTATGCAGGGCTCAACCACAACATTGGCCAATGGCCACCTCAGGGGGCAGCACCTCTTTGAGCACAGAGTTCAGTACCAGTATTATAAACCAACCTAATGATGTAATTTTCAGATTCCTTATATCTTTGTCACATCTCACTCCTACAGAATAGTAAATAAGGTGTAGGACCTGAGCTCTGGTTTCTCACTGAAACCCACTTTTCTATTCCACTTTTTGAGAAAGTTTGTGTTAGGCCACTTCTACAAAAAAAAAAAAAAGTGAAAATAGCACTCAGTAAAATGAAAGAGGATTTTCACTTTTATGGGGAAAAAATTGAAAATGGCCTTATGCATTTGTTTTGCAGCAAGCCTTTACAGAGGCAGCAGGCATCCCATACAACTAAAGTGGACCTGCCAACCTCCTGCCCTGGCAACTACTCTCAGCATTGCAATATCAGCTATGAGCCCTTTGAACTGTGTCTGTGAGCATCTGTGCTCTACTTCGATTTTTTTTTTTTTGTTCATCCATTAGCAAGATGTGTCCTAAGATATCAGGAAAGCTTAAGAAAGGTTATTCTTGGGCATCCGGGAAGGCTAAGAAAACTTCCTCCATGTAAATTGATGGTAATTGCTTCCTTGCTTTACTCCATTTAGGCTTAGGAAAGGTTTCATAGGCACACTCTACTTACAGATAATGGAGGAAATCTGTATTGGGGTGACCAGGTCATAGTGGTTCACAATTGTTACCATTTCATTGTAAAGTGTACCTCTTTCTAGTTATAAGACACAACATCTAGAAGATTCAGCTTACATAAATAAAAAAACTGACCACTTTTCTACAAAAGGAAACAGAAAAATTTATATGGAAAAAACGTACCACAAAGTAAGAAAGCAAGTGGCAAACAGTAAGCATTCAGGATCAGCCTTTCACCAGGCATTGTTCCCAGCTCTTTAGTTCATTTAACCATTAAGCCTCATAAAGTGAGGATATAACATGCCAAAACAATCCTACGTGATGAGGTAGGTATTGTGGTTGATGCCATTTTACAGATACGGAAACTGAAGCAGATAGTGTTAAGTACCTTGCCCATGATCACACAACTAAGAAGTGGCAAAGTTGGGATTCAAATCCAGGCAGTTGGGTTCCAGTACCCATATGGATAATCAGCATCCTATCTTGCCTCCCCTCACTATACTGTAGAAGAAAACATTTGCAAACACATTGTAAAAATTAATATCCATGGGCACCTGGGTGGCTCACTTGGTTAAGCATCCAACTCTTGATCTCAGCTCAGGTTTTGATCCAGGATCATTAGTTCAAGCCATGTGTTGGGCTCCATCCTGGGTGTGGAGTCTACTTAAAAAAAAAGTTAATATCCAAAATGTATAAGGAGCTGCTACAAATCAAGAAAATATAAACAGCCCAATGGAAAGAAAGTCATAGGCGGGTGCCAGGGTGGCTCAGTGGTTGAGCGGCTGCCTTCAGCTCAGGTCTTGATCCAAGGGGTCCTGGGACTGAATCCCACATCAGGCTCCCTGCAGAGTGCTTCTCCCTCTGCCTATGTCTCTGCCTCTCTCATGAATAAATGAATAAAATCTTAAAAAAAAAAGTCATAAGATAAGAACAGGCAATTCAGAGAGCAATGGAAAAGGCCAATAAACATACTCAAATATACTCAAAGACAGTCACCTACCTGTAGGAGTCATTAAGGACAGTTAAAACAAGATACCATTTCTATTCAACAGAGTAAAGCAAAAATTGAGAAGCTGATAACAAGGACTAGGAGGGTATATGAAAGTGGCTTCTCTCACCCTGCTGGTGATAATGGAAAATTTGTATTCCTTTTTTGGATGGTAGTTTGGCAAGACCTGTCACTATTTCAAAGGCATTAAGTTTTTTTTTTATTTTTATTTATTTATTTATTCATTCATTTATTTATTTATTTATTTATTTATTTATTTATTAGTTATTTATGATAGTCAGAGAGAGAGAGAGAGAGAGAGAGAGAGAGAGAGGCAGAGACACAGGCAGAGGGAGAAGCAGGCTCCATGCACTGGGAGCCCGACGTGGGATTCGATCCCGGGTCTCCAGGATCCTGCCCTGGGCCAAAGGCAGGCGCCAAACCGCTGCGCCACCCAGGGATCCCCAAAGGCATTAAAGGGGCATTAAATGCCCCAAAGGCATTTTGACCTGCAGTTCTGCATCTGTGAATCTACTCTGTGAACTTTAGTCTCACAGGAGCACAATGATGAATGAATGCTTAGAGAAGCTCTTCTAACCAAGCCTTTCATTAACAACTGCAGAATTCAGCAGTGCTCTGTCTCCCCATAAAACCTGGACTGAGGGTACACTGAGCCCTTAGAACACAAGGCTACTCTCTATGACACCTGCACACTTTTCTCCTGTTGAACTTACAGTTATGTTTATCCTTAAACTTCTCACATAATTACTGAATTTAATTATAAAAACTAATGTATGCTTAAAATGGCAAATTTTGTTACATAATTTTTTACCACAATAAATGGCCTGTCTTAAGTCTCAGTTATTATGAAAATCAAATGAGATTGTATAGGTAAAAGCCTTCCCAAGAACTCAACATAACGGTAGGCATTTGTTGATATTGCTCTCTGATGAGTTTTTTTTTTATTTTCATAGAAACTATTGTTTGTTTCTAATTATAAATGTTTGGGAGTTACAGAAGAGCACGCAAAACCAAAAATGGTTCATTGACATTCTTTTCTCAAAACCAATGTTTTGGGATCCCTGGGTGGCGCAGTGGTTTAGCGCCTGCCTTTGGCCCAGGGCGCGATCCTGGAGACCCAGGATTGAATCCCACGTCAGGCTCCCGGTGCATGGAGCCTGCTTCTCCCTCTCCCTGCCTCTCTCTCTCTCTCTCTCTCTCTCTCTCTCTCTGTGTGTGTGTGTGTGTGACTATCATAAATAAATAAAAATTAAAAAAAACAATGTTTTTTTTTCTTTTTAATGCAAAGATAACTGATTTTATGAAAATTAGGGGGAATTCTCTAGAGTCCAGCTAAAGACAAGTCTCCAAAACACAAAACAAACTGCTGCCAAATCAAGTGAAGCTAAAACAAGTGTACAGTAGTATGAGAAATCCCATAAAAAATTATAAGTAGTCTGCAGTTAGAATGTGTCTGAACTAGATGGTGCATTATGGCTCTGCATTATCAGGAGAGATAAAGCAAAATTCCGACCCCAGGACGCATGCTCTAAGAAAAGGCCTGGGCAGATAGGATTGTTTGCATTTTTTGTTTCTTTTACACAGTGCTGATGTGGTCATGAGCTACTTCTCTAATTGAAAAATAAAGTAGTATCTTTATTAATATAAATGATACCGTTAACAATACAAAATGACTATTCCTTTTGGTAGTTTTTCTTACCCTGAATTCTACTGTCTAATAATATAATGGGTTTCCTTTCCTAATGAATTGAAGAATTTGTTTTTTAAATGGATGAGTTTAAGCAATTTATTATTGTAACTGATACATTTGCTACTAATTCTGCCCTTATTTGTTATATTATAACCCCCGTATCTTGCTTTTTAGTATTGAAAAAAAAAAATCGTTGTCCATTCCCTCTGCTGGTCTCATTGTCTATCTACTTCCACACACGAACATAAACATAGGGAGGCACAAAAAGCGTGCTCCTTAAATATATGGTGAAACCTAAATGAATATACAGGCAAATTTTGGTTTTGCCTTTGTTTTTACTTTTGTCAGCGCAACAACAATCTCACTTTGAACAGTGCAATAATAAGTAGGTTTTCTTCTGTGCTACAAAACAGCAAAAACCAAACAGGGAGCGAAAAGGGAGGTGTGTGTGTGTGTGTGTGTGTGTGTGCAGGCCTCTTCAGCCCAGGGCCAGATAGGGTGATGTGGCTGGGGCTTCACCGGCCTCACTATGTCTGCCATTGTGCCATTTTCAATTTTCAGAGTCTGTTGACTGTAATCTTGCTGCTTATATGTACCTGTGCTTATATCGGATCCTTGGTACCCAGCCTCCTGGATGGAAATAAAACTGGATTGTTTGCTGTATTTTGGAAGTGTGCCAGAATTGGTGAACGGAAGAGACCTTATGTCGCAGTGCGCTGCATAGTGATGGCTTTCAGCATCCTCTTCATGCAGTAGCTTGGAAAAGTATCAGAATTCAATTGCCATCGGATTTCAGTATGAAAAAAGGACGTACCTACAGAAAATAATGGAATGCATGGTTAACCCTTTTATCTCTGAACATTGAATGAGATAAATTTCCAGCTGCTCTTCTCCAGTTTTGTTACTGGACCAATGTTCTATATAAATAGGACGTAACCATTTAATACTCAGAGAGTTTAATACGTCTGTAGCAGTCAACCTCAGTACTGTAACTACAATATTACATTCTGCAATGTTATTGTTTTATGTCAGAGACCAGTTCTTTTCTTTAATTTTTATTTATTTAAGATTTTTATTTATTTATTCATGAGAGACAGAGAGAGAGAGGCAGAGACACAGACATAGGAAGAAGCAGGCTCTTCGCAGGGAGCCCGATGTGGGACTCGATCCCGTAACTGGGATCACGCCCTGCGCCAAAGGCAGGCAGACACTCAACCGCTGAGCCACCCAGGTGTCCCCACTTTTTTTCTTTTTTGATACCAGTTCTTAGTGCGGTATCTCCAAGGCGCATAATGGAAAACAAAATTAGCACATTGCCCAAGTTTCTTTCACTGTGATTTGGGAATGATAAATCCTTATAGAATGAAGAAAAACAAAAACCAAAAAAAAAAAAAAAAAACCCAAAAAACCAAACAGCAATCTCCAAATCATTAACATGGAACATCTGGTCCGGAAAAGAGAGTATCTCCCAGGATTTACTGGCAAGGGCATGAAAGGGTCACAGACTCTTAAGAATCTCATATGTAGGGCTGACCCAGTGGCTCAGCGGTTTAGTGCCACCTTCAGCCTGGGGTGTGATCCTGGAGACCCGGGATCGAGTCCCACATTGGGCTCCCTGCATGGAGCCTACTTCTCTCTCTCTCCCATGAATAAATAAAATCTTAAAAAAATAAAAATCCCAAATTAAAAAAAAAAAAAATCTCATATGTAGGGCAGCCCCAGTGGCTTGGTGCCGCCGTGGGCCTGGAGTGTGATCCTGGAGACCCAGGATCGAGTCCCACGTCGGGCTCCCTGCATGGAGCCTGCTTCTCCCTCTGCCTCTCTCTCTCTCTCTCTCTCTCTGTGTGTGTGTCTGTCATGAATAAATAAATAAAATATTTAAAAAAAAAGAATCTCATAAGTACTTAAAAAAAAAAAAAGCACTAGTGCCAGTTTCCCATAAAGCCATGCTGCTGCGGGGAGCGCAGGTGGAGGAGACGTCGTGGGCCTCCTGCCGCCCGCCCACGGACACCTGCGGGTGGAGGCTCTGCGGTCGCGGACCTCCGCGATCCCGGCAGCACAGAAGCGACTGGAAAACCCGCGAAGCCAGAACGAATCTTTCAAAGCGGACACCCCTCTCTCTTCCCGCGAGATTAGGCGGCACGCGCCGCCGGAGAGTTCAGGGGAAAACGCGGAGACACGGACCTTTCCGGCGGGCGGGAGTCTCCGGCGGCCGCGGGAGTAGCCGTTCTGCGCCTGCGCCGAATTTCCCGCATGCGCAGTAGCTGCGGTAGGTTTGTCCTCCATCCACCGACGTGCGACCTGCAGCCGGGAAGGCGGCCAGGTGCTGGACGCCGCGAGGGACCGGTTGCCTCATAGCCTTCCGCTGTTAGCCTTCAGGTGTCTTTCGTCTAGCTTTGTTCCAGGCTTATCACTGTAAGTGTCCCCCCCGCGAGTCCGGCCAAGGGCCTTGGGCAGATCTGAATCGTTCATTGGTTCCCCTCAACTCCACCCCTTTGCACGGATACAAGATTGCAGGGATTTAAAAAAAAAAAAAAAGAATGAAAAGTTTGCATGAATCAGATTGCTCCTCCAGATGTTGCCGTTTCGGACTTCGATTCTTGAGTGTCGGCAATTTAATTGTCCATCGGTGCGTTTATTTTCGCGCTCCGGGGTCCTTTCGTGGCTGTGGATCGTAGAATTAACAGGGGAAACCTGGATCCTGGGCTCGTTAGTGCACTCGGGTTTAGAGACCCCCTTACGCCTGAAATTAAAATTTCGTTCACAGAGCACACTTTCTTCCTACTGTCTGTCTTACGTGCTTGTAGGCTTGCTTGATGTATTCAGGTTTCCCCGAAAATCTAATTGCTAGCTCAAAAGATGTGTACGTTTTGCTTTTAGTTATCTTTGCAAAATCGTCCTAAGAGGTTTGAACCACTTTGCATCCTTCCGAACAGGTCAGGAGGATGCTCCCTCGCCGTCACGGGCCAGCCAACCCCGCGCATATTTATCTATGCCACTCTTAGACATGAACAGTCATCTTTCACTGTTCTGATGTGCATTTCTTTCATAATGAAGTTAAGCATTTCGTGTAAACAAATGGCCATTGTTTTTCTAGCAACAGCCTATTTGTATCCTTTGCTCATTTTTCTACTGGAGTATTTCATTTTTAACGTATTGATGTGAAAGCTCTTTCTTAAAGATTTTTATTTATTTGAGAGAGACAGAAAGCACCAGCAGGGCCTGGGGGGGGGTTGGGGGGGTGCAGAGGAAGAGGGAGAAGTAGACTCCCCGCTGAGCAGGGAGCAGGATTCCAGACTGCATCCCAGTACCCTGAGATCCTGACTTGAGCCAGAGTCAGAAGCTTATGGGGCTGAGCCACCCAGGCTCCCCTAAAAGCCCTTTACATAACCAAAATTAACTCAGATGTCTAGTATGTGATACAAATTACTTTTTTTTCATTTTGTCAATCTGCTTTCTTTGCAGTAGTTTGGTTACACTGTTATCTTAATTTTTATGCAAATTTTTGAATATATTCTTTATTTTTTTTAAGATTTATTTATTTATTCATGAGAGACACGGAGAAAGGCAGAGACACAGGCAGAGGGAGAAGCAGGCTCCATGCAGGGAGCCTGATGTGGGACTCCATCCCAGGACTCAGGGATCATGCCCTGAGCCAAAGGCAGACGTTCAACCACTGAGCCACCCAGGCATCCCAAATATATTCTTTTATATAGATTTTTAGTTCTTCTCGTGCTTAAAAAAGTCCTTTACCAAATTTACAAAATATTTCATGCAGCTTTATTCTTATGGTTTTATGGTTTCACTCTTTACTTCTAAAATCATGCATTGGGGATGCCTGGGTGGTTCAGCGGTTGAGCGTCTGCCTCTGACTCGGGTCTTGATCCCGCAGTCCTGGGCTCAAGTCCTGCATCGGGCTCCCTGCATGGAGCCTGCTCCTCCCTCTGCCTATGTCTTTGCCAATCTCTCTCTGTGTCTCTTATGAATACATGAAATCTTTAAAAAAAATAAGATAAAATCATGCATTGATCTGGAAAGTATATTGATACAAAGCATGCAAAAAGGATCCAACATTTTGTTATAAAGATTAGCATTTGTTTCCACCATTTTTGCATGATTAACTTTCCCTTATGATTTGAAATACCCACCCCAGGCAACCCCGAGAGAACGGGTGTCTCCCCTTAACCATAGGTTATTCGCCCATTCTTGGAAGGCTGGGAGAGGAGAGTAGCTCTGCCACCCCGTGACCATCAGGAACCTGTGCCCTCTGCAGCTGGCCTGTAGCTCGGAAGGCCTGGGGTCCCCGGGGCACAGTTGTCCCCTGGCTCTACTCCATAGAGCAGATACCGTAGCAGGTTATGGGGGAAGTATGTACCAGTCGTATCCATGTACATTTCCATACTGAAAAAAAAAATGATTTGAAATACCCCCTTTAGTGTGTCTGGATCTACTTCTGGAATTTAATTCTGCTCAGGACTAAACTGTTCAATTACTATAGTTTTACATCATATTTTGCTAGCCAGTAAAGAGAAAATCTTGGCTCATTGTTCTTTTTTCAGAGTTTGCTCTGTTTTGCTCATATTTTTATTTTTCCACATGACCTTGAACCTTAGCATCTCTTAATCAGGTCTCAAAAGATAGTCTTTCTATTCTGATTGAGAACTCATCATTCATTTTTAGATCCTAATCCTCATGCGTTCCGCACCTTTATATTCAACTCAAGATTGATTTCCCAGGCTATCAAAGGAAGTGGATCACTTGATTCCTGCTTTTATCCTTCAGAATTAGCCCTATTGGCAACTCTAAGGGTTTTTTAAAGGATGGGATGTTAGGTTGATAGCCTTTAGTGGCATACAACCTTTTATCATACATACTTTTAGCCTGAATGTTATGGAAAATAATCTGTACTTTGATTCAGGGTTGTATTGGTTATCATATTACATATATACTCAGGGTCAAAATAGTGTTGCAGAAGCTATAGGAATTTTTTTTGTCTTTAAAACTACCCTGATGTCTCTGCAGGATAACCAGTAATGAGGACAATTATCTCAATAATGGTTAGCCAGTATGATTTAGTGCTTACCTTGTGCTAGGGACTGTTACAGGTGCTTTACCTGCTTTACTCATTTAATAATTACAACAACCCTATAGTATAGATACTATTATTAACTCCATTTTGCGGATTGAGACACAGAGAATTTAAGTGGCTTTCCCAAGATCACACAGCTAAAATGTGCCAGAGCCCGGATTTGAACACTGGCAGTTAACTCCAGTGCCTGAGCCTTTAGCTGCCTTACGCTGTTTTTGAGTGAGCTGTCAGAAAGATGTGTTCACAAAGGGTGGTGTTTTAGGACCCAGGAGGCATAAAGCTGGTAGGGAAGGAAGTACAGTATTTATAATCTGAACTGCCTAAGGAAGTTAGCAACTTGCAGGCAACTTTTCCACAGCGGTGACAGTGGTGGCAGCAGTGGTACAGGTGCTCGGTGCTCAGTGCTCGGTCCTCGGTCTCCAATACTATCAACAGGTGATTCTCATTTGGGTTCTAGGACGGGGGCAAAATGAAAAAAGCTAACAGGAACCTCTTTTATAGATAAGTTTTGATAATATAATCAGGCTCATTTTCTTTAATAAGGGCCAAAATTGTATCCATTTGTTTAAAAAATATGTAAGAAAAATATTAGACAAGACAAGGGGTAATAATATTTCATTACTAATTATATTTGGACTGAAGAAGTATTTCAGAGAAATTGGTAGGA